GGCATTACAAGCATGTGCTGCCATGCCTGGCTAATTTTGTATTTTTAATAGAGACGGGTTTCTCCATGTTGGTCAGACTGATCTCGAACTCCTGCTTTCAGGTGATCCACCCGCCTCAGCCTCCCAAAGTGCTGGGATTACAGGCGTGAGGCACCGCACCCAGCCCAGAAAAGAGTTTTAAGACAAGGGAATCTTTCCCCAGCAAAGGCCCACGTTACGTGGCAAGAAGGTGTTAAAGCAGGTGGAAGGGATTCCAGAAATATTCTGAAGGGTTAAAAAAATGGGCCTGTTGCCAAGAACATAAGCCACAGCACAGCTAGTAGGAAAACTATGTAGTGGATGCATCATTTATCAACTACAATGTTAGGACCAAATATCCAAGACCAAATAACTGGCGGTTAGAATTGGCCCGGTTGTTCCTCTTGAATTTAGTGGTTAACAAATAAGATACTGAGTGCGTACTGTGTGTCAAGCACTTGCTGGGCACTGGAGAAACTGAGATAAATAGGGTTAAGGCTTCCCTCCTGGTTCACTGAAGGAGACAGAAATACACTTATTAAAGGATGTTGTGAATAGTGTGACAGATAAAAGTATGAACAGAATGCTGGACCGGTGTTTCTTGCAAAACCTACTTATAATGAGGTTAAGTTCAGTCAAACACATTTTTTTTTTACCATTGATCCCCCGTGATGATTTTTATTTGATCAAACGTGATTGTTATTTTCTCAAATTGGTTGCTTTTCTTAAAAAAAAAAATGAAAACACATTTACACATATTTTGAATACATGAAGCCATGTGTAAATATTGGCCTTCTGGGAAAATCTAGCTTATTGCTTGCTTTTTTTGTAAATAAAGATTTATTGCAACATAGCCACACTGATTGATATACTGCTGATGGCCACTTCTGTGCTATCATGGCAGAACTGAGTATCTGCCTCAAAGACCATATGGTCTTCAAAGCTGAAAATATTTACTATCTAGTCCTTTAAGAAGATGTTTGCTGACCAAGGAGAGTGGCTCATGCCTGTAATCCCAACATTTTGGGAGGCCAAGGCTGGATGATCGATTTAGCCCAGTAGTTCAAGACCAGCCTGAGCAACATGGGAGACCCTGTGTCTACAAAAAAATTTTATAAATTAGCTGGGCATGGTGGCACACCCATGTGGTACCAGCTACTCGAGAGGCTGACGTGGGAGGATCACTTGAGCCCAGGAGGTCGAGGCTGGAGTGAACCGTGATCACGGCACTGCACTCCGGCCTTTCCAGCCTGGGTGAGACAGGAGACCCCGCCTTAAAAAAAAAAAAAAAAAAAAGGGCAGCAGCAGCTTGCCGACCTTTAAACTACGACAGCAGTACTTTATTGTTGATTTCGTTCTTGCAATTTTCCTTTCGGGTTTATGTGTTCTTTCAATTTATTACTTGGCAGGGACAAATCTTTGCTTTTAATTTTAATAAATGAAACAAACCTAATAAGACACCTTCACGTTGAAAAGAGTCCGCTAGAACTTTAAAATCACGCACATGGGCCATATGGGCGGCTTTGTGTTGCTCCTGACAACCAACGCAGATGTCTACTGAGAGCCAAATGGTGGGTGGTGCGGGCTGGGAGGTGCGCAGGGAGCGCGGAGGAGTCCAGGTGTTTGGTAGCAGCTGAGGTGGACGGAGGGCGGCGTTTCTGAGACGAGCATCACACAAACTGTGAGTTTTTATTACTTCATTAATTTAAGCTCCAGTGACGATTTAACTTCTGCTATAACCACACATTAATAAATGAACCTACCATTAGAACTTACTTATTTAGAATCTATATTGTTTTCTATTCTGGTAAACATTTAATAAGCTCACTTCCTTTTCCTTGGTCTGGTTAGACTCAACCAGCAGTGGGTTCCTACTTGGGACTTATGGAGACAAAGATAAAGCAGACACTGCTCTTGACCTCAGAGTGTTTACACTGGAAATGAGACAGAGGATTGTTAAAGAGTCCAAGCCAGGTGCAGTGGCTCACGCCTGTAATCCCAGCACTTTGGGAGGCCGAGGCGGGTGGATGACGAGGTCAATAAATCGAGACCATCCTGGCCAGCATGGTGAAAACCCGTCTCTACTAAAAATATAAAAATTAGCCGGGTGTGGTGGCACGCGCCTGTAGTCCCAGCTACATGGGAGGCTGAGGCAGGAGCTTGCAGTGAACCGAGATGGTGCGGCTGTACTCCAGCCTGGGCGACAGAGCCAGACTCCATCTCAAAAAAAAAAAAAAAGAAAAAGAAAAGAGTCCAATCACTGATAGAATTAAACAGAGGGACACTTAATTCAAACTGGAAGGTGAGCAAAGACTTTCACGTGGCAAAGAGTCGAGACTTAGAAGATAAATCAAAGTGTCAACAAAACGAAAAGAGGTTGAAAAGGCTTTTTCCACCAGAGAAAGTTTTGGCAGAGGCATGGAGTGATGCAATAGCATGGAGCTACAGGGAAATAATCAGCACGTTGGTGAAAACTGAGGTAGGAGTATTTGGGTGTGTGGCTGGAGAGCTAGTAAGGAGCTGAGTCATAGTGGACTTTAGCTTTAACTTGAAGATGATGGGGAGTTATGTAGGCAGATGTGCCTTTTACATTGATCCTTCAAAGGGAGGAAATACTGGAGGCCATGAGTTCAGTTCAGAGGCTACTGTAATAGTCCTAGCTGAGAGATGGAGGAAGACAATAGTGGGGACCGAGAAGGGGAATATAGGGGAAAAATGAGAAATGTACCCACTCCTCTTTAATTGCAGACTTAGACAATTCACTGTCATTTATGTTTAATAGTTCTCATTTTGAAATATTTATATTCACATCTATTACCTACAAAACAGGAAATAAACAAAATTGTCTTTTAGTACAATACAAAATTCCAAAGAAAGAAATGGTTTTCAAAAACTTTGCACCCTGGTACTCAATATGAAGTATGTAGAAGCAGGAATAGCTACAGTCCTTAGGCTAGCACCAAGTCCTATTCTAATTAGGTTTTTCACCTTTACTCGTGCCATCAAAGATTGTTTTCAGTTCTCTGTTCTCACTTCCAGATATCTACTTTTTCTTTAACAAATTAGCACCTAAGGCTTATTAATTCCACCAGCAGATGGTCCTGACACATATAAGTCTCACCATGAAAACGTTTGCATTTTTAATCAGGATGTTCTTTGCCCACATGGATTCTTCCCCAGCCTGCATGAATAGCTTGAGGTCTGAGGCATTTCAATGAGGCTCAGGTGGTCTGGCTATTGGCAAACATGACCTTCACCCTCCAGTCTCTCCAGCACTCCCCCATGCTGCACGCAGTGAATTCCAAATGCCAAGGAAAGAAATTGGGCTAAAATCCCTATTGGAACGGATGTCTTGGAAAAGCGTGTTTGTTCTGATCCTGTAGCCGTGGAGGCTCTAGGGGAAAAGTGACTCTCTACCCTGTCCTAGTGGGAGATGGCAAGAGATGGGAGCCGATATCATGACTTTACCTTACATCAACCTGTCGCTGATGGTGTTTACTGTTAAGTGAATTTCAAACTCTTTGACTTGCCATGACAAGGCTAGTGAGAACAGTATAGACCACTCAAAATGAGCCACTTCTGAAACGCCTCTTACACAGCAATTTGTACATAACCATTTAGACACTTTGGCAGCAAAAACATCCAGGTCACAGTAGCTCAATGGTTAGGCACATGTGTCTCCTGGTTGCTTCTAACCACATTGTCGATAGACACCCAGCTTCCTCCCCATGTTATTATTGTAGGCCTTGAGGATCTCTGCCAAATACTGTTCAGTCTAACCTATATACAAGGTGCCGTATCAGGGCTGACAGAGGGCTTAAGAAACATTTATATTTTCTTAGGTCAGATAGTGTCCTAGATACCGCAGATAAAAAGACGTATTTCACACAAGCTCCATCCTCCTGGAAGTCGCAGTCTAGAGGGGAGGCCTCCCAGCTGTTAATGGTATATCCTGCAATGCAGTAGTTCCAACATGGCGATGTTCTCATTCTGGATGAGGCCCAGAATGAGAATCCAGAGGTGGGATCAACAAACTCTGCTTTTGAAGGCTTCATGGAAGAAGTGATGATGATTATGGGTTCCCAAAGAATGACTATGAGTTCCACAAGGCAAGAAGGGAGGAAGAAGTTCCCAATCCACCAAGGAGGCCACATGGGCTACTTCGTGTTGCTCCTGAAACACATATACCAAGGGCCAGATAATGGTACCAGCTCAGGGAAGTGTGGCAAGGAGCTGCACAGAGCGCAGGTGATCTATGGCTGCTGAGTTGGAGGGAGCAGTCTCTGAAGCAAGCACTGAAGAGCCGACCACCTTTGTGGGGGGGAGCTCCCTGCTTCTGTTCCTGCCTCCTAAGCAGAGGCAGCGTCCACAATGCCGACTGTCTAGGTTCTGGTTTGAAAGAGATCAGACAGGGTGCTTCAAGCCTCCCCATAAGGACAGTTTTCTGGGGACAGGCCTTTTCTGTCACTTCTTCCTTCAGCGACTGATTTTCAAACTTTGGTATTCATAAGAGTCTCCCGGAGCAGCAGTTCTCCGAGTGTGTTCTAGAGACCAGCAGCATTGGCATCACCTGAGAACTTGTTAGAAATGCAGATTTTCAGACCCCACCCAGACCTATTCACTTAGAGACTCAGAATGGATCCTGCTCCTCTGTGTCTTAATAAGCCCTCCAGGTGCCTCTGATTCTGACCTAAGGTGTTCATTAAAAATACAGTTTCCTGGCCAGGAATGGTGGCTCATGCCTGTAATCCAAATACTTTGGAAGGCTGAGGCTGGTGTATTGCTTGAGCCCAGGAGTTTGAGACCAACCTAGACAGCATGGCAAAACCCCATCTCTACAAAAAAAAAAAAATACAAAAATTAGCTGGGCATGGTGGTATGCGCCTGTAGTCCCAGCTACTTGGGAGGCTGAGGGAAGAGGATGGCTTGAGCCCAGGAGAGGGAGGTTGCAGTGAGCTCAGATCACATCACTACACTCTAGCCTGGGTGACAGAGCAAGATTGTCTCCACCCACCCCCAACAACAACAACAAAAGCAGGTCTGAGATTCTGAATCATTCGAGTGACCAAACATTTTAAACATTTTGCCAATTATTGCACCACCTCCATGGGCCTTGCCTTCTCAGCCACACCCCTAAGCAGGCCTCAGCTTTCCCTGACACTCCTCCCCACATTTCTGGGGTCACTTTCCCCTGAGCCTGGTATTCAACTCCTCACTATGCGATTTCCTATCAACTTCTCCGAACCTTAGTAACTGCAATTATAAAATGGAACAGTAATACAGATCACTATAAGACAGTTCAGGCTTGTCAAGATTTAAGCTGTCTCTGTGCCTATTACCCAGGGTTCAACCCTCTGCTAGTTATAGTGGATAATTATAGGTTATTACCCAGGGTTCAACCCTCTGCTAGTTATAGTGGATAATTATAGGTTATTACCCAGGGTTCAACCCTCTGCTAGTTATAGTGGATAATTATAGGTTAGTTAAGAAAACAAACCTGGAAATATATGGTGATCAATGTGTCCCCACTGATGGATCAAGACTGACTAAAACAACTCCAGAAAGCATTTAAAGAGTGTGCCATGTGGGAATTCTGGGCACTGTTACCTCCTTTCTCAGCCTTCAGCTTCCTGACCCAGGGCCATGTAGAATCAACACTGTTTGGGTTCCTTCCTCTGGCCCATCTCTGCCCAGGACACACCTGTACTTGGTTCCACCTGTAGTTCATCACCCATCACAAAGGCCTCCAATCTGGATGCAGACTCATATGTGAAGATGTTAGGAAGAAGAACTTCTGTATAGATTGGGATATTTGATGGGATGGCCTTGTAGAAACCTTTCCAAACTTGAGAGACTAGGATTGACCTGGCATTACTTGAGTTGCTCTGAAGCCTTTGGCAGCAAACATCTCTTCAGAAAGTTCCTTCTTGATTCAGTGATCCCTTTCATGATTGAATTATGCTCAATGACTTTCTCAGCATATTTCCAGAATATTAAGTCTTCCTTCAAGAATGTATATTTGAACGAAATCCTGTCCTCTCTTTTAATATGGGGTGATATCTTAGCTCTATTATGCTTTTAAATTAGTTGGTTTCAAATGATGTATCCTGGATCAGGCCTCTGGAGCTTGAGATAATTTCTCTCTCTCTCTCTCTCTCTCTCTCTCTCTCTCTCTCTCTCTCTCTCTCACACACACACACACACACACACACACTCTTTCTCTCTCTCTCTCTCTCTCTCTACCTATAAAACGATTATTCTAGAATGTAGGGGGGTGAGGAATTTGTGGCTCTCACTTGCTATAGAAAAGATAGTCTTGAATCCAAGTTCATGATTCACTCCAAGCTGGTGCAAAATGCTTTCTTCCTCAGATGGTAGCTGAGTGCTACCACTGGCAGCTTAAACAACCAAACGGGCACTGCCAGAAGTAAAGATAGCTGAATGTTAGCCTTAAAAGCTGTCTCTTGTGCAAGAAAAGTTTGAGGTAAGTCAAGCAAATTGCAAAGATCGGCAGGTGAGGAGGTGCTACCCTGTTCGGAGTGGTGAGAAAAAACATGGCAAAATGCTTGGATGAATCAACTGCCCTGCTGTGGGCGAGGAGATTTTGATGAAGCATCCATACTTTTAAGGGATATAAGACTGATGTGTCTGTGTGTATTGCTTCGCAGCTAAATTGAATATTCCATAAATTCTGAACACCTCTTAGCCAAGAACCAGCATCCCTGTTCTTCTTTTCACTGAGGCATGTGTGTGTGAGTTCATCAGAGGATGCCACAGTGGCAGTCAAAACACAGAATCCTCCAGGGTCTCAACTCCAGGCTTCTCTATATAACTGATGACTTCAATTTCTGTCTCAACGGAACCAGCTTTCTGCAAAACAAATCATCTTTCCTTAGATGTCTTTTAGAGAACTTTTGGGTTCTTTGAAATCTTTACACTTGGCTTTAAGTCTATTATTTTTTAAATAAAAATAGTAAATGTTCACTGAAGAAGATGTGAAAAATAAAGTGGAAAGAAGAAAATACCTAGCCATACACCTTTCTCCCAAACACAGCCCACTGCTTCTCGTAAGCCTTTCTTTCTAGGCATAATGTTTTCTTTAGACTTACTTGAAGTCATATGGATACACATCTTTTCTTTTTAGCCGGAGTCTCACTCTGTCACCCTGGCTGGAGTGCAGTGGCATGATCTCAGCTCACTGCAACCTCCACCTCCCAGGTTCAAGCAATCCTCCTGCCCCAGCCTCCCAAGTAGCTGGGACTACAAGCACACGCCACCGTGCCCAGCTAATTTTCGTATTTTTAGTAGAAACGGGGTTTCACCATGTTGGCCAGGCTGGTCTTGAACTTTTGATCTTGTGATCCCCCCGCCTCAGCCTCCCAAAATGCTGGGATTACAGGCATGAGCCACCACACCCGACTGGATACACATCTTTAAAAATTGATTTCTTTCTCTCTGACATTACTGATTATAAATTACATTGTTAAATGTGCTTTGGTGGCATCACTTTTGATAGCTGCATCATAATTCCATCCATAATTTACTATAGTATCCCCCTAACTTTGGACAGTTCTGACCCATTTTGGCTATAATGAATAATGCTGATAATAATTGGAAAATTGGTAACAAAAATAAAATTGCCTGTAAGAGATCCTATTCCTTTACTTCATTTACTCATCTAACATATTTTTTACTACCTGCTCCACACTAGCTACAGTGCCGTGTCTTGGGAATTTACTGATGGACACAGCAGGCATGGCTCCTGCTTTTATCCATTTTACTTTTAATAGTTTACAGGCAACCTAATTGGGGGAGGAACCCTCTCTGGTTGCCATTGTAGAAACAAGGAACACCTGGAAACCAGTCTCATAAATTAAAAGCTCAGGTCGGGCGCCGCAGCTCATGCCTGTAATCCCAACACTGGGAGGCTGAAGCAGGCACATAGCTTGAGCCCAGGAGTTGGAGACCAGCCTGGTGAGACCTTGTCTCTACAAAAAATATCTAAATAAGTAAATTATCAGAAAGCTCAGGATTTGATTTTTTAGAATAAGCCTTTCTTTTTTACTGCTAAAGGCCAACTTTCTTCCTTCACAGTACGTTTGTTTGTTTGTTTGTTTGTTTATTTATGACAAGTTCTGACTCCATCACCCAAGCTGCAGTGCAGTGGCACAATCTCAGCTCACTGAAACCTCTGCCTCCTGGGCTCAAGCCATCTTCCCACCTCAGCCTCCCGAGTAGCTGGGACTACAGGTGTGCACCACCATGCCTGAGTAATTTTTGTATTTTTTGTAGAGATGGGGTTTTGCCATGTTGGCCAGGCTGGTTTCAAACTTGTGAGCTCAAGTGATCTGCCCGTCATGGCCTCTCAAAGTGCTGGGATTACAGGCATGAGCCACTGAGCCCGGCCCTTCACTGATGTCTAAATTTCTAACTGAGGTCTAAGTTTCTAACTGAGGTCTGAACAAGCAAAAATTTGCTTCTAGGATGGCAGAGCTCCTCTAAGTCCTGGGACTTTGGGCACCCACCCCAAGCTCAGAGGTGCACATGACCATGAAAAGCAGAGGGTTTCCTTTCCCACTAGCCAAACATTTCCCAGCGGCCACCCATAGCACTAGCATGCCCTCTTGTCACCCTTGTAGCACAGCCTCTGAGAATGGCTTTTGTCCTTGGAGGTGGAGGCTGTGCACGGCCTCATGGGGCCCAGCTGTAGGCAGCTCTGCACTCGCTCTCATCCTCTCTCAGGTGAAGAATTTAGGCCATAGGGCCCACAGCACCAGGCTGTACTTCATTTCCCCCATTCTACGCGCGCTTTCTTCTCTCAGTCTCTAACTGCTTTGTTTTTATGTGAAACTCTGCAATGTGAGAAGAGAATAAGTTGTCCTGAGAAGCCAGGCGCTGTTGAGTGCTGTCATTCATCCTCTGCTTATTCTGAAACCAGCTTGTCTGCCCCAAGTTGTTATTTTACACACTTGACTTGATTTTAATTAACAACAAATCACAACCTTATACAATAAGCTCTTAAACCAGTTTATTTCACCAACTTTGGAATATTAAAGGAAATCTTTCAGGGCTCTGTAGGGAAATTAGATACCAGCATTAAGATGTTCCATTAAGAGGCTGGGACAAATGACTTCACTTGGCTGCTTAAACTAGATGTGGGCTGGGTACGGTGGCTCACACCTGTAATCCCAGCACTTTGGGAGGCTGGATCACTTGAGGTCAGGAGTTCAAGACCAGCCTGGCCAACATGGTGTAACCCTGTCTCTACTAAAACTACAAAAATTAGCTGGGCGTGGTGTCGGGTACCTGTAATCCCAGTTACTCGGGAGGCTGAGGCAGGAGAATCACTTAAACCCAGGAGGCGGAGGTTGCAGTGAGCCGAGATGGCTCCACTGTACTCCAGCTTGGGTGACAAAGCGAGACTCAATCTCAAACAAACACACAAAACCAGATGTCTTTACTCAGGAGTGAGTGTACTAGAGCAAGGAGGGACTGGCAGCACACATCCAGAACCGGCACCAAAGCTCCACCTTGGGGTCCACTCTTCTTCCCAAAGAACTCAGTGAACAAGAGCAGATGGGCCATTCCCCTGATAAAGGAGAACACAAGGATCCAACCATGGGCAGAATGATTCTTTTGCCAGCCTCCACTCTCTACTTCAGTCGGCTAGTAACTGTAACTGTCTATAAATCCTTCCAATACCCAAACTGCAAATGCTAAGGAATGTTCACCACTTATTGAAATTAATCATTTTGATGAGTTTTTCCATGAACCCTTTATTTTCCCTACAACCAGTCACCAGGTGGTTCATCCAATCATGAGTTACTTCATTTGAGAGAAACCTAAATTTACTAAGAAAATTGTTTGATCTAAATCAAGGATTGGCAAACTACTGCCGCACGCCAAATCTGGCTTGTTGCCTGTTTTTGTAAATGAAGTTTTACTGGAGCACAGCCACACTCATTCATTAGCACATTTTCTGTGGCTACTTTCACACTACAATGGCAGAGTTGAAGAGTTGAAACAAACCATTTGTCCCTCAAATATTTACTACCTGGCCCTTTACAGAAAAAGTGTGTTGAGCCCTGATCTAAATAACTGTTCACTTTAAGGATAAATTTGACAAAGTGCATTAATTATACACTGAAGAATCACAAACCATTGCTGAGAGAAGTTAAAGAAAGCCTAAATAAACGGAGTGATATGCTATGTTTATAGATAAGAAGACTTCATATTATTAAGATGTCACTTTTCCCCAAATTAACTTATAACTCAACATAATATCACCCCAAATCCCAGCTACCTATTTTTGTAGAAAATTATCAGCTGAATCTAAGATGTATACGAAAATGCAGAGGACCTAGAATAGCCAAAACAACTTATTAAAAAATTTTGGGCCTTACACAAATGGTCTCATGGTTTACAATAAAGCTACAGTAATCAAGACAGTATTGTATTGGCATAAAGACAGACAAATAGATCAATAAAACCGAACAGATACTCCAGAAATGGACCCAACTATATATAGCAACTAATTTCCAGCAGAAATGCCAAGACAAGTCAATGGGGAAAGGATTATTTACTTCGACAAATGATGCTGGAACAATTGAATAGCCATAAGTAAGTGACCACTGGGCTGAACCTAAGTGCTCTGAATGGTGAACAGACCTAAGAAAATGCATATTGGGTGAAATAATTTGCCTTTTTTATAGTCTTTTTTATACTAAAGAGCTAAAGTTCCCTCTGAAAATTCTCTATTAACTTAGTTACTCACGTGGAAACATGGAGTCTTAAAACATTAGAGCTAAGCAGAACATTGTACAATCTCATTTGTGTCCCGTATTATACCAGAAAGAAATTCAAAACTCATAGGATTGAAGAGATTGTCCAACGTCAGTTAAGGGATGGCTGATATGAAATTAAAATTTAAGACTAACTGGAAAGAACACTTGTAACTCAGTACCTTTCCAATATGTCAATAATGAACATGCATAATAAAACAATCAGGCAAGCAGGCATGGTGGCATGCTTCTGTAGTTCCAGCTACTTGGGAGGCTGAGGTGGGAGGATCGCTTAGACCCAGGTGTTTGAGACCAGCCTGGGCAACATAGCAAGACCCTATCTCTTAAAAAATACAAACAACTGAATCAGCCAAAGAACAGAATGACTGAAGCAACAGAAATGCTCGTGGCCTTCTGAGTAAAAGCCCTGCCTTGTAATATAGAAAACTAAACCCAATGACAGATCCCAGGGGACTCAATCCTGGACACATATGGCATATCATAAGAACTTTCAATATTACCTCATAGTTAGCAGTTACAAAGAGATCTTTGATATTACTTTTTGGTGCTGGAATTGGTGGAAACAACTTGATCCATAAATGACATCTGAAAACAGAGTAAAGAAGGAATTAGGTGAGCATGAGTATACCTTTTGTCTCTAAATATCTACTCTAAAAATTGACCTGGTTAATTCTAGAACCTGCTGTTTTGTAAATTCAAAATCTTTATGTACCAAGACTTCCAAAATTATAGGTGAAGACTTTGTGGGTACCACAAGGCTTTGTTGTGGCTTCTGAGTCATCCAGGGAAGACCAAATGGGAAACTGCTTTGTGTCGGTGGGTGTTACGAGGCCTAATCTCTCAAAATGAACTTTCAAGTGTGTGATGTTGTGCCGTTTCCTGCAATGCTGATTGAAGCATTCCTTCCTCAACTGTGTTTACTCACAGGGTTTACTTAATTTTGTTTTTTTTTTTTTTTGAGACAATGTCTTGCTCTGTCACCCAGGCTGGAGTGCAGTGGCACCATCACAGCTCATTGCAACCTCCATCTCTTGGGCTCAAGCAATTCTCCTGCCTCAGCCTCCTGAGTAGCTGGGACTACAGGCACATGCCACTGTGCTCAGCTAATTTTTGTATTTTTTGAAGAGACAGGGTTTCACCACATTGCCCAGGCTGGTCTCGAACTCTTGACCTCAAGTGATCCTCCAACCTCGGCCTCCCAAAGTGCTGAGATTACAGATGTGAGTCACCATCCCCAGCCGAGTTTATTTGCTTTTCATCTCCTTTGTACTGCCTTCCCCCAACCTGTAGATGCCATCTAAACATAACGTTTATAATATAGTAAAGCTGTTTAATAGAAAAGTCATTTTCTTTTCTTTTCTTTTCTTTCCTTTTTTTTTTTTTTTTTTTTTTTTGAGATGGAGTCTCCCTCTGTTGCCCAGGCTGGAGTGCAGTGGTGCGATCTTGCCTCACTACAACCTCCGCCTCCCAGGTTCATAGCTGGGACTACAGGCGTGTACCACCACGCCCAGCTAATTTTTTGTATTTTTAGTAGAGATGGGTTTCACCACATTAGCCAGGATGGTCTGGATCTCCTGACCTCATGATCTGCCCGCCGTGGCCTCCCAAAGTGCTGGAATTACAGGTGTGAGCCTCCGTGCCCAGCCCTTATAAAACTCATTTTCTAAATTATGAAAGGGCCAAGACAAAACATGTTTTTAAGTCTCCTAAAAGGTCTTGTGCCTTACTGAATGCTAAAATGGGTAAGGGGTACTTATGGGCTATTTGCAGGCTCTAGGATAGGACACCAGATCCACATGCGATTTCTAGAATCTGTGTTTGACCTAATAGCCATCAGCCACTCAGAGGCCTGGTGACCTGATAGTTGAGGATGATGATGTGCAGGCATTCTGGTGATTTTAACCTTCCTGAGCTGTGAAAAGCCTATGCCGACAGCTTACCCAAGACAGCCAAGGACTGAGTGGAAGACTGAGAAGGAATCAAAAGAACCTGCAAGTAGAAACCTTCACAGATATTAAAAGCTGTCGACAACTTCAAGTAGGAGTGAGTGATAGCCGAGGGCTGCGTTGTGCTCTGTCCAACTTCTGTAAATCACCTCTGATGTTTTCACTTTTGATTTGACCTACACTCATCTTGGACAGGTCATCCAGGCACAAAAATACCATAATTTTACCAGATAATAAGAACCTTCTGCCTACCGGAGGCATGGTAAGCCTGTAAAAATGCAGTACTCAGACCCCACTGCAGGTACCCAAATACTTACATTCTACAGATAAGCAAGAGAATTAACAAGATGAAGCAGATGGTTGCCATAAGCACAATGAGAAACCACTGTCTCAAGGGCTTGTGTTCATCTTTTCCTGGTGGAAAACAAAAAAGAAAGAAAGAAGATTAAAGTCCAAGTTAGAAGCAGCAGGTAAAAGAAATGATGAGGCTTGGGTCATCAGACAGCTCAGGTTTGAGTTGCTGGTGCTGGGTGGTGCTGGGCAAGTAACTTAATTTCCCTGAGCCTAAGATTTCTCGTCTGTTAAAGATGGGTAATAGCCATCTCACAAAGTTGATATAGGGTGAAATGAAATGGCGGCAGTGAGGCCACTTTTTTTTCTTAAAGAATGATTTATTCAATCAATCAGCAAATATTGATGGCGTTCATTCCATGCACTGTGCCACTTGAATCCTGAAGCTTATTTGTTTTGGGTACGTAGTAAGGTTTTTAGATAGAAAATCCACAAAAAGATAAGCCTACTGAGTAACCCAGTTGCATCACAATCAAAATATTTTACGAAGTTGGAAATTAAACTTTTGGAGGAAGTAAAGAATGAGATAATACTTGTAGTGAACAATAAAGGTATTAGACCCTAAGTGCTTTTCAATCTTAAATACCTTCAAAGCACCCGTTACCATTTTACAGATAGGAAAAGAAGCAAACTGCCATTAAGTCAGTACAGAAAGTCAGTATTTTGTATGCCACTTATTCTCTGTTTAAATTTGCTTTGAATCTACATTCAAGGGACAGATTCCTCTAGGAACTTCTATGATAGCTTTGGGGTGTGTAATTTGTCTTTTAAGTACTAGAAGGGCATCCAAGACAAACTCAAGCCAGGTGGGGTGGCTCATGCCTATAAATCCAAGCACTTTGGGAGGACAAGGCAGGTGGATCATTTGAGGCCAGGAGTTCGAGACCAGCCTGGCCAACATGGTGAAATCCCATCTCTACTAAAAATACAGAAATTAACCAGGTGTGGTGACAGGCACCTGTAATCCCAGCCACTTGGGAGGCCGAGGCACAAAATTGCTTGAACAGAGGCAGTGGGGGTTGCAGTGAGCCGAGATTGTACCACTGCACTCCAGTCTGGGGGACAGAATGAGACTCTGTCCCGCAACAGCTCCCCTGCAAAAAAAAAGAAGAAAATAACTCAAGGCCATTTACCAAACAGTGTTTAAAGAGGTTATGTGTTTGCTAACCTGCCTGATTGAATAAGGTAAATCCTGCGTCATCTCCCTGAATATGGGTTTCCTTTCTGTGGGAGAGGCTGCTCATTCACTGATTCCTTTATTCATCCATTTAACAAATATTTATTGGGCTCCTATTGTATGTTTGGAACTGTACAAATTACTGGGATTCAGTGGTCAAAAGATCACATATGGGTGCTCCCGTCATAGAGTCCATTAGGAAAGAATCACACTCAGCAAAAAGCAACACAAGCAATGATGTAATGACCAGTGTGCTAAATACTGTGGTGAGGTTTCAAGCACACTGCACCAGGAGAAAAGGTTACCATCCCCAGTTTGCCATGATTTGCTTCCTCTAGAAAACAAGAAATACATAAGTGGAATTTTCAGGTCCTTGTTAATAGCCTAAGACTTCCCAAACCTCCAAAATACTTAAAACTCAAATCATTCAAGTAACAAGAAGGAGAGATATATTGGGATATAATCCTAGTGATTCCAGTCTTGCCTTGTTCTCTTGCTTTTGCTTTTTTGCCTCCTGAGGACCCTTACCCAAGCTTTATCTTCTGCCTCCCGAAAGTTTTAATCTCCTTCTTCATCTCTTCTGTTCTGCTTTCAAATATTCATGGAGTCCTTCATCTTGAATAAGCCATTACCTTGCTCTGCCGTCTGTCTCCACTGTCATCAAACACGTTCTTACTTGATTTCCCAGTCTAAATTATTGAATAAGGGCCAGGTGCGGTGGCTCACGCTTGTAATCCCAGCACTTTGGGAAGCTGAGGCAGACGGATCACCTGAGGTCAGGAGTTCAAGACCAGCCTGGTCAACATGGCAAAACCCTGTCTCTACTAAAAATACAAAAATTAGCAGGGCGTGCTGGCTCGTACTTGTAGTCCCAGCTACTTGGGAGACTGAGATAGGACAGTCGCTTGAACCTGGGAAATGGAGGTTGTGGTGAGCTGAGATCGCACCCTGTCATGCCAGCCTGGGTGACAAAAGCGAGACTGTCTCAAAAAAAAAAAAAAAAAAAAAAAAGATTTGGGCTGCTTCATTTCCCATCTCTAACACTGCTTTTTTAATCACGGTGACTTTCTCCTAGTCTAATTCAAAAGACGCTTGTTTTCTTTTTCCAGCTTTATTTTTACTGACCTCCTTCCTGAATTTCAGACTGTGGATAGTTGAGCCCACCTTGAAACCGAGTCCTCAGCTTTATTGCCCCAGTCTTCCTCTTCTTAGATGGCACTTCTCCCCATTTTAATTTTGACTTGCCCTCTCCACTCATCCTTTGACCCTTTGGTATTTTCCACTGTGGTCTATTCTTTGAACTTTGAAAAGTATGTTTATACCGCTTCATCTTTTAATTTTGGGAAATCTTTTCCTAGGTTTTTATTCCTGGTCCTGCCTGATACTCAGCTCCAGGCCTAGATCTTAGCCTGTCCTTAGGTGAAACCTGCTCGGATATTTCTCAAGGCTGACAACATTCAAAACCAAATGCGTGCTCTTCTTCACATCAAAACCCCTTCTCTCAGTAGCTGCCCATTTCAGTCTCAATCCTTCCAAGCCTCCAAACCTGAAGCCTTGAAGTCACTTTGACTCTTTCCATCCTTTACAGGCCCTGTCCCTTCTCCTCATTCCCTCGGCTCATGTCATTACTGTGTACCCAGTGATTAGTGCCAGACAGGCATGCTTTGTCCAGTGCTTTCATCCCTGCGTAGTCTGGACACCTGGCTTCTAGTCTCAGCTTGCTGTGGAGGTGGTCATTCTGGGCCTTGGTTTCCTCATCTTAAAACATGGCAGTTGAAATATATAATCCAGCAGATCCTTCCCCAGCCAGCACCTTTTCTAGCACCACTCACTCAGTACAGGGTACTGTCACTTCATATATACATACCTTTAATAAAATTGGTTTTAGAAAAGGAGTGCCTTTTTGGGCCGGGTGTGTTGGCGTAATCCCAGCACTTTGGGAGGCCAACGGGCAGATCACTTGAGGTCAGGAGTTCGAGACCAGCCTGGCCAACATGGTGAAAGCCCGTCTCTACTGAAAATATTAAAATTAGCCAGGTATGGTGACGCCTGGCTGTCATACCAGCTACTAGGGAGGCTGAGGCAGGATCGCTTGAACCTAGGAGGCGGAGGCTGCAGTAAGCTGAGATCATGCCACTGCACTCCAGCCTGGGCTATGGAGCAAGACTCTGTCTCCAAAAAAAAAAAAAAAAAGGAAAACAAAAGTAGTGCCTTTTTGCTGCTGGAACTTTAAAAGTTGTAATAAAGTATAAAAATTAAAAAAGAGAAATCAGTAGTCACTGGAAGTAACTAAGAGCTTATTTTCTATACATATTTTTACATTCCCTTTTTCTGAGTGCTTCTAGGTGCCCAGATACTATGTAAAGTGCTTCACGTACATTCTCGATTCTCACAGCGATGCTTTAAGATGGACACTATTATTCTCACTGTACAGATGCAGGAACTGAGGTAGAAAAGGACAGAGTAAGTCAGCCCAGGCCACCCAGCAAGGAAGTGAGGGAGCCCAAACAGTCCATGCTCTTAGCCTTGATGCAGGAATCCCATTCCTCTCCCTCCCTCTGCAAAACTGAGGGCACACTGAATACACAGGAACTTCACTTCACTTATTCTAAGCATTGCTTCTCCTTGAGAACTCTCCTGAGCATCATCCCTATAGCTCTCTGTCTTCACTGTGGGAAGCCCTGTTCTATTGTTTGCATCCCCGCTGCCCGATAAGGCTAAGTGTGCAGGCAGCTTCTCTAATTAAAGGTGGCTGCTTTGCAAACTACCGTTCCTCCTGACATTCTCCAAACTCTAGGTGAGACTGAAGAACTTGATTAAAAACCTATGACTATACTATTTATTTATTTATATGGGATAGAGTCTTGCTCTGTCACCCAGGCTGGAGTGCAGTGGCATGATCATAGCTCCCTGCAGATTCTGACTCCTGGGTTCAAGCAATCCTCTCGCCTTAGCCTCCCAAGTAGCTGGGACTACAGGCGCGCATCACTGTGCCTACCTAATTTTTAAAATCTTTTGTAGAGATGGGGCCTCAGTATGTTGCCCAGGCTGGTCTCAAGCTCCTAGACTCAGGCAATTCTCCTGCTTTGGCCTCCCAAACTGCTGAGATTACAAGCGTGACCAACTGTGCCTAGCCCTATGGCTATAGTTATTTTTTTTTTCAAGTTTTATTTTGAAATATACTTATGTCTATTGTTTTATAAAAAGGCATTCGCCACATTTTGTTAAATAATGGAAAATGGACCCTTAAAGTGGCAAAGCTTTTATTTTCCTAAATCCTACAGATACTCGATGGTTCCAGGATTAATATTCAGTTCTCTGGATGGGAGCTGAGTGCTCTGTTAGACTTCGTTTTTACTGCATTCTCTCTTAGGTAATGTGAAGAGTAGCTGGGACAAACAAATACCAGCAAATCAAATACTGTCTTACTTTATCTCCCAGTCTGATTTCCTGAATAAGGCATTCAGCCTGCTTCATGGCTCCATCTCTCAAACTATTCCATGCTCATAACCATTATGCAAGTATCCCGATAACCACATTCAGAAACTGTAGGTTCAGAGACACGGGATTCTAATTCAGCAAGTGGTATATCAGCAGAAAAAAAGTTATCCTGTTTACAACTAGGTTAAACCAACAGAAAAAGTACGGGTCCTGCAGAAAGAAGGGGCAGTGTTGTAAATAATTATCAGGGTCACACTGTCAGTCACATTTGGGTCTTAAATTGTGCAATACCCCCTAGCCTGATATGGCAAGTTCTGATAACAGTACCGTTTTCTTCTGACCATGATTACAAAAATCTTTTCAGTTAAACCACTCTCGAGTTATTCACTTCAGCCCTCATTTTGATAAGTGAAGATTCTCACTGAATTAGCAAAAATATAGAGGC